GAACTTTTGTAGTGAAGGAGAACACAGGTGAGGGCAACCGAATTGTATTTAACGAAAATTACAGAGTTACTCAGTAAAATACGAAAACCATATCGTAAACGGTTAATTTTCAAATCTTCAATCCATCATCAATCCATTGTCTGCCATTTCACTCTGTTCACGCATTTCATACAAATTCCATTGTGTTTCCACTCTTCTTCCTTTCTTGATCTTCTTCCCCCATCTTCTGCTGCCAGACATTACGTTGACCCTCACGTCATATACTACTTATAAGTAGCGCGCACCACACTTTCTCTAAGTCTTATCAAGACTTCTTCCTTTAGTTATTGGCACTATGGGACGACGAGCAGATTAGAGTAGCCTATCGTATCGCTAAATCATAGATCTTCGTTTCATTTACCAAGTAACGTGAACTCATATTATCTGCAAGCATAGAAAGGATGTAACGGCCGTCTTTCAGTGCTTCCTAGTGAGTGAGCAACACATAAAATAAACCACTAAAACAAAAAACTTACTTTTAAATGTTGTGCATCGAATGGTAGAGAACCACTAACTAGCGTGTATAAAATAACACCTAATGACCAAACATCCACTTCTGGACCATCATATTTACGTCCTTGAAATAATTCCGGTGCAGCATACGGTGGACTACCACAAAATGTATCTAATTTTTTCGATCCATCAAATAGATTGGAAAACCCAAAGTCCGCTAGTTTTATATTGAAATAACTATCGAAGAGAAGATTTTCAGCCTGAAAAAAAAATGTAATGTAATTATTTATTATATACAAGCATTATGTTACATAAATATAAATATATGTACAATCAGTAATGAGATGGTAGAGAAACATTTGTCGCTCAAGTGGATGATCGTAGGAAGGCCAAAGAACACATTACGTCGAGAAATAGAGAAAGATATAAGAGGAATGAACAAACATTGGACAGAAATGGAGAAGGAAGCCCAAGAAAGAGTTGGTTGGAGAATGCTGCTGGTGAGCGGCCTATGCTCCATTGGGGGTAACAGGCGTAAGTAAGTAGGTGGATGATTGTAGTGGTGTTTCATTCTCTGAGCTGGATATTTTAGGTTCAAAATCCAAGAGTGATAGTGATAGTAGAAGTATTAGCAGTAATGGAGAAGATTAGGGAGCGAAGATATGATTCGAAAAGGTTAATTCATCAATTTAAATTTAGAAGGAGAAAGGTAGCGATAATGAAGAATGCAGAAGCTTAGGATTTCATAGAACGGACTCGAGCCATTTCGAACGATTCTGAGCCATATCATTCAAGATCTCTAACCGTCGGTGACTATGGTCTCGCGGAACCCCAACCAAATAGCCTACATCTAACAACATGCCTCAGTACACTTGTCAATGACTTCATGGATTTCTATCATGTTTTGGTTTGGCCGCCCCTAGCTTTCTTCCAACCTACTCCTACACTGCAAAACATAGCTCGTCGCGGCACTCGGTGGTTAGCCATACGTAACACATGTCCCAACCACCTCTATTGATGAAGTTCCACAACTTCATCTAGGATATTTTGGTTTTGTAAAGTTTTCACCATTGTTCTTCTTATGAAGAAAACATCATCATCAGCATAAACTTCAGATAGACGAAGTGAAGTTCACAAACAAAATATCCAGCTCAGAGAATGAAACATCACCACAATAATCAGTAGTAGTTCAGTCATTTTAAAACAGATCACAACCACATGTGCATGAATAGTCTTTCAATGAATCTCGATGAAATGAACCTAACTGGCTCATAAAAACTTTTGAATGAGGAATTTGTACATAGCTGAAGCTACAATGAATTCATCAGTTCTAATCCAACTTCTGATTACAGAAGAGTCATGGTCAATCGCTTACACTCCCCAAAGGACTTAGTCGGACCTTTGAATGTTTACAAACAATTAAGTGCAAATTATTACCTTTGCCTACTCTCTTCCTTTTGTTAAGGACGTTAGATCCCTAGAACTCGCTTGACAAATGCCTAAATTTTGGATTTCACGTTTGCGAGCATGGGCTGATCAGCTGACCTTGAGATCTCATTTCCCACCAGGAAAATCTATTGTTGTGTATTTTAGTGTGCTATTTTTGTGACTCTCCAAAGGACGTTTCTTTGATGTATAAATAGACGAGAGTTGTGTGCTTGCTGGGTGTTTGTAGAATACACTTTTCACGATACATCAAGACTTCTGTTTTGCCGTTTTCGCTTTTATCGACTAAGGTGAACCCGTAATAGTTTCAAGCACACCTAGTGACGAACCTAACACTTTACGACGGAGATAATTATGGTTAATTTTTATTTCAAAGATGATTACCGCTTATTTCTGCGGAAACTATTACATAACATAAGCTCTTTGATGATGCCTTTGATGACTTTCTCAAAATGATGTAACCTAATTCTTACGCAATACTTGAAACCTTTTAATAAATCTAGACCATATTACGTCACACCACTTCACCTTGATTGTCCTGCACTTAAATAAACTTGACTATTGTTGCTAATTTTTGTAAAACTGATCTGAGACGAAAGGTAGCGTGTGTGTGTGTGTGTGAAGTGAATGTTTACAGCATAAAGTACTCAGCATTTAAACAAGTTGTAACTATTAGCTACAATGTCAAAAAGCACTGTTGGAATAACAAGTTACGCATTATCGATCAACAGTTATTACTTTTAAGATGGAACTATTAGACAGTATACCTTCCATTGATTTCCCAAAGAATTGAACATTTAGGTTTCAAGGAGAACGCTTAAACTGTTATCCGAATGGCTTACTGTTAGCGGGACATAGATTGGATTAAAGCATGATGGCGTTGCTGAACGCTGATTGGCTAATTCCTATCCAATCAGCGTTGGTCGGTGCTTGGAGAACATTCTAGAAGCTTCTTAAGTAAAAACTAACGTTGATCCTATTTCGGCTTCGCTTCGGCTTCTTACTTCCAGTTAACCTTGCTATTTGAAATTTATAATCTCTTCCCTGTTCAACTGTGTTCTGATTTTGGACTAGTGTCCGAGAACACTAAGCAATAAGAATAACTAGGTTCTACTACGAGAGAATTATAAATAACACTTACATTTTTCAATTCAATTACCGTACAACATTGGACAATCATTGTCGATTGCCAATGGTGAAGTTTATTGTGAGCGCAGAATTAGCTCTAGATATTCCTTACTAGTTACAAATTGAAAGTCAACTACTTTTTTATAGTCAAATCCGCCGACAGCCTCCTCTCTAGGGCTGCTGCGGATCCAAAGACCAATTACAGAGGAGGGTTGGGCGTGGAGTTAGCAGTGAACCCATCCCACAGAAAACTAACTCACTAAAAAAACGCTGAAAATGCCCACTTTCCGATCTCGGAAATCAAATAGATCATTACACATCACACTGAAACTTAGATCTGTGTAAATCAAAGACCAAATACAAAAAACTTGTGAAGAATTTTGTGTGCTATTGAAATGATGAATCGAACATTGTTAGACCACCATTAGAAACCTGCAAACTGTGGACGACTATCTTGTCCTAGTATGGAACTCCTCATCAGTAGTGCGAATCCATGGATGCCACTCACTACAATCAAACAAACCTAGGACCTTCGATCTCGCACACAAACGCTTAACCCATAAACTAATGAGCCAGAATTCAACGGTGTTAATGTATAACTCTGATCAATCCATGGTATTGCTCAACCTCACTCACTGTCTTCGGTAGGTAACTACCGACACCCAACAGGGTTGAACTCTACTGGCCATGGCTTGTCCCTAGAACTCCAAAGGTTTCCTCACCAAGTTAGTCACTAATCAATGTTGCACACTGCTGCTGATGAGGAGTCCTGACACACTACCGCAAACGAAACAGCCATCCAACGTGTCCACATTCCTCCCTGATGATGATCTAACAACGATCGATCGATCGATCCATCATGTCAACAAATCCAGGACGAAGAAAAAGCCAAAAAACACCAACCAACTAACCTTTAAATCTCTATGGACAATTTTCTTTTGATGACAATATTCCACAGCGGAGACAATTTGACGAAATGCAGCACGTGCTTCACGTTCTTTCATACGACCATGCGCTACCAAATGATCAAATACTTCGCCTTTTTGTTGTTGATTTGCATTTTTGTTTGAGTGTGAGCGTGTGTCAGAGCGAGCAAGAGAGAGAGAGAGACAGAGAGAGTAAGAAGTTGCAAGAAAAAAATTAAACTCATATTTACAAAAATATTATTGATTATGCATAAATTATAAAATGCAAAATCAGAAAGTGTCAGTGAAAAACCACAACTCGTTTAGATTTCTATTCTTGATTTTTTGCTTCTTGGAACAGAACAGTTTATTATGCAGCTGGTGTGATTATGTTGAGTGTGTATGCTGTATTCACACACACACACACACACACACTAAGAAGCATACAGACTAAAACAGTATGGTTGTTCGTAGTTAACACATTACCAAGACTACGACTACTAGTATTACTAATACGATTACTATGAATAGCCAACAACCAGAGAAAAAATAAATCCGGAAACAATAGAATAAAATACTGTATTAAATAAAAACTAGATTATCATCAGTGGTTGATATTGAACATGTGAATTGGCGTGAATCGGTGAAATCTTACAAGTACGTACTGTTGTGTATCACACTATAAGTAAGAGAAATATTCAGTCAGTTAGTAGTCAGTTACAACGTAGAACAAGTTACCGGACCATCACATTAGCGCATACAGAGATGCAATTGTCAATTTAGAGAATAGAGTAGTTGAGGTAGGTAGAAGTATTTAGTAGTAATCGAAAAACTTATTGTTGTCAGAGATGTATATATTCACCTGGCGCCCATCTGGGGCTACTGCCGATCCCAAAGCCAGATAAAGGAGGAGGATTGGGTTGAAGGTTGGAGACCACATCCCCGTAGAAAACTAACTCGTTAAAAAAACGCTAACAAGAGAGAAATATTAGCGAAGAATTTTTTACATGGAGTTAGAAAGTGGAAAAAAACAGGATCAAATCACATACTCGACGGAGAAGCTTAGAAAGATGTAGAAACTTTTACATGCTTAAGAAACATCATTCGTAAACAAGCGGGGATTGGATGTTAAGATATGGATTAACAAAGCAAGGGTAGCATTCATACAGTTTTGAATAGCATCTATCTAAGTCATAATTTTCAATTTAAACTTAAAGACAGTTCTGTTGTATGGAGTTGAAACTTGGAGAACTATGAAAAACCATCATCCACAAGATGTCTATGTAAGATACTCCGGATTAGTCAACCAGAAAACAAACCAAATGATAGCTTAAGGAGAAATGACGTAAAAACGTTGGAGTTGAATAGGACACACATTAGGGAAGAAACCAGCTCATTGCATCATGAAGCAAGCCCCCAACTTAGAATCCTCAAGGCTAAAGGAAGACCAATGAACACATTAAACGGAGAATTGGAAGCAGACACCAAAAGATGAGGCCCAAACCATAGTCGATTAAAGAATCCTAGTCAGTGGCCTATGATGCTGCTCTACGAGAGTTAAGTAACAGGCGTAAGTAAGTAAGTAAATATATCTGACAGCTCGATAAAGGTTAGACGGAAAAACTTTTATCCAAAAATATCTGTAAAACATTGTGACCTTGTTTAAAAACACCGTTACAAAAAATTCTGAACGATATTACGCAATGTTCCCAACTACTGATGATGATGATAATGTTAAACTCTTCACGAATTCTCGAATCACACGTTATATGCACTTACCA